CACTATGCTGATTAAAATTCTAAGTTGCACTGTCCTCGTGGCACCTGGTGAAATTGCTGTCAATGCTTCTTATTTACCACTCCTCTCTTGAGCTGCATCCTACAAAATGAAAAAGTGTCACGATGAACACTTTAAAAGAATACTTCTCAAGCATTAGTTAGCATGTGCTAGGCCTGTGAAATCTCAAGCCTGGAAAAATTCTCAGCATGAAGAGGGAAGTTGGACATATCATCTCACCTCCAGCTGAAGAGCTGTGTGGAATTGATAGCTCCCTGGAGAGGGAGAGTGGTTTTTCTTTAAGGGTACAGTTACTGGTAGATTGACAATGTTCCAATGGATGGGCATCCATGGAAGAATATATGGACAGCAGACATTGAACTCTGTGTGTGTGTGTGTGTGTGTGTGTGTGTGTGTGTGTGTGTGTGTGTGTTCAATGTGGGTAGGGAGGCAAGAGTGGATCTTAGAGGAACTGAAGGATGAATATTTTAAAAATATAAGATATCAATTCCTCAAAGCATTTTCAAAACAGAAACATTCTTTAAAACCAGGAAATCAATCAATAAGCACAGAGACCTACAGTGTTGATCTAATGTTAGATTATTCCATTGCTACCCCATATCTACCTTGATTCCTTCCAACCCCTGAAATCGCCAAGCTGCCAGCAACCTGCGTTTTAACAGCCACTAACCACCATCACCTAAATTACAACCAATCAGAAGATCTACCCATTATTTATGCATATTATGACTAGCTAATTAGTATACGTACAGCTATAATGGTTAGAAAACACTCTTATATCCTAGTAATAAACTTTATCTAGTGGTCCTATAACATGCTTACATTTTACATATACTAATGGGTTTAGTTTGCTAATATCGTCAATTATTGCTTAATCACAAAACTTTATCTTAAAGGTGCTTTCTTGGCGGATAAGTTGAGTGGGTACCTAACTAAAAGTTTCATCCCTACTTACTAACACTCATGGTACTCACAGATACTCTACATGCTCCCAGAAGAGAAAGATTAAAGGTCTATATCTGCCATGTAGGACAACCTGCAACCTACAACAGTGACCTGCCTGCAAGACAAACATAGTGCGATAGTGGCACAAATATTATGGAAGTAACCAATGAATTTATGATTGCATTTAAGGCCCTCTCCATGATATGTATCCCATATCTGATACTGAGAGGGAGGCCAAGAACTTGAGGCTAGGTAGGTCATGGGTCTAGAGGAAAACCTAATCCTGTTATTCTGTTAAAGAACACAATAATTAAACGGCTCTTAATGACATTCTGTTACACCAGTAGATCAATGCCTTACTCAGCCCACATCAGAGAAGGTCCTTCTTGACGAAGCTTCTTGAGAACAAACACAGAGACCCACGAGTAGAAAACAAATGTAGAGAGTAAGAAACTTCAAAGCACTGAGTTCTAAATGGGATGCCTTTGTCAAAGCCCTCACCTTAAGGGTTAGGGATCTATGAGGAAGAGGCAGTGGATTGATTCTAAGAGCCGGAAGTGGTAGGTGACTCCAAAGAAACAGTATTCTTTTTAGATACAGCAGGATTGATGCACATATAAATTCACAGAGACTGTGGCAACACACACAAGACCTGCTTAGGTTCAAGGTAGATGGGGTCCAAGCACTGAGCAGGAAAATGGACATGGGCTCCAACCTTTAACCAAGGAACTATCTTCAATTGATACTCAGTAAAATAAAGGAAAAAATCAGTTTTCTCCAATAGAGTCTTACTAGGTATATTAACCACATCTTAGGAGAGGCACCATGTCTAAGAGTAGTTGTCCTACACAAAATGGTCCCTTGTGTTGTTTTGTTGTTGTTTGTGGAGGCAGTTGTTATCTCCTTTTTATTTGTTCGGGCACCTTTTTGTCTTATCTGTCTTTTGCTTGTTTATTTTGATTTTCACTTTTGTGTTTTTGTTGGGGTTGGATATATTTCTTGAATTTTGTTGTTTTGCTTTTGTCTCTTTTTTTTTAAGAGAAAGAAAACACAAAGCTGGGTGGGTAGGGAAGATGGGAAGCTTTAGAATTAATTAGGGGAATAGAAAAACATAATCAAGTATACAGTATAAAAATTTTTCAAATAAATACAATCGAGTTTAGGTGATAATGGCTCTTAGAAGTCACTGTAATTTTTGGTGAGGAGTATACTTAAACATAATGACAGGGTGTATAGTCTAGTAAAAACATACACCAGTAGCATAGTTGTTTGGTGTCCATATGCAAACATTATGCCCAGTTCATAATTGTACACTTTTCACAACTGGTAACACTGGTTCATTTACAGTGTCTCAGCAAACTCTGAAGTCATGCTTTGCATTATAATGTGAGGACAGCTATGAGGTCACTAGACCATGGGAGCTTTTCAGCTCCATTTGAATCTTATAGGACCATGGTCACCTACCTGGTCTGACGTTGTTATGGGACATGGCTATCCTCTGCTTATAGCTCCTTGCTGAAATTAGTCACCAGGTTTTACGCTACCTTTATGAACGACATTCACATGGACTTTTAATACCTTTCTTTTTTTTTTCTGGTGAAACATAGTTTATATGACACTGAAACTGAATTCTTAAAAGACTACAGCATCATCTGTAGAGTACTGTGGACTGATACCTTTTCACTGAGAGACCTTTGAATTTCCAATTACCCTACAATAAGTGGATCTGTTCATGCTTCCCCTTTATTTTTTTTAAAATAATTTTAAGCATTTGGGTTTCTACTGAAAATTCATCCATTACTTCTTTATTTTTTACAATTATGTCTAGAGAGTTGCATATCCACCATAAATATTCTTATTTTCTCTTTACCTGGGATTATATTTTCCATATTAATGTTACATTTGTCTTAGATTCTTTTTCTTTCTCCTTAAGCTCAACAGTGTAATATGTACTTCGTTAACACTTTCAGAAAATCCAATTTTAATTTTGCTTCTTTTTACATTGGCTTTCTAGTTTTAACTTTTGTCTTTATTAATTTCATCCTCCACATTCCTGCTTTATTTAATTACCATTTAATTTGCATTGAACATTTAAAAATATCATTTTATTTTTGAATTAATTGTATGTATAAGTTTGTGTCTGGGGATGGAGTGTACATTTTCCCAGGCCCTGCAGAGCCAAAGTCATCAGATTTCCTGGAGCTGGAGCTACTAAAGGCTGTTGGCTACCAAGGGTGCTGGGAACCAAACCCAAGTCTTCTGGAAGAAAGAGCACCAGGGCTTTTAACCTCTAAGCTAGTTCCCCAGACACTAATCTATAACTTTAAATTTCTTCCTTGATCCAAGAATTGTTTAAAAGCATACTTCTTAATACTTCTTAACTTTATGAAATATCTGTCAGATTTTTTATATCCCTCTCTAGTTTTACTGGAGCATGATCAGAAAAGCAGCCTATAAAAGCTCTACTCTTAAATTTTTATTTAGGTTTTTATGCATGTCAAAATACCTATTAACTTCTACAAATGCCTCATGAACACAAGGTCAGAATGTTAATTCTTTGGGTAGTGATGTGTACACATGTTTGCATGTATTTTTGTCTTGTGTGCAGTCCAGACAATTGACCATTGTGCTCAAAGTATGTCCACATTAACCAAGGTTTGCTTGGACTATCCAGTTCAGAAAATGGTTGACGAGATAGTCCCAAGAGAACTCCAACTTATAACCTCATTGCTACTCCTTTTATGTTTTTCTATTGTTGCTTTTTATTGATTTGTTGGTTATTGCTGGCCTTTTATTCTTTTTGGCAATCTGATAAAACAATCACTTTTGTTCTCCCTCCATTAACCATTAACGTTAATTTCCACTCCCCTTACAGAACAATAATTATCAAATGACTACACTTCACAAACCTGCTTCCATAGCCCCCTAAATCCCCTACATGGCTCATATCCTTTAATTCCAACAAAGCATTCTTGTGTCCAGTAACCTACCCTCGCTCTAGAACTCTGACTTCTCATTATAGTTCATGGTTTCCACTCCTGTTGATCTTCATTTATTTAGGTCTCATGAAGATGTCTTGTGGCATTTCTGTCAGAATGACAGTACAAGTAGCAGACCCTATTGGTTCTTACCTATTCCAAATCATTTTCCTTTGAACTGAATAAAAATTTTAGTATTTGCGTTTCTTGTAGTCAAAACTTTTCTCACAGGACTTTTTATTTTACTACCTTTAGCCTTCATTTCATGCAATTTAACTGACTTTCAGATTACAAAGTTACACCCAGGCATAATGCCTTTCTAACAACCCTTCCCTACTCACTAATCCTGTATTTCCATCAGAAAACACCACTGGTTTAGGGGTGTAGGGGGTTAGGGGGAAGTTTGGGGGCTTGGGTTTTGTTTGGGGATTCCAGAAACTTTGCATTTAGAATTGTAGGCCATGTTTCCTTGTTATCCTATGATGGGAATTTGCCTGCAGGAGTTGCACTGAGTGGTGCTCTTGGGATTGGTGCCTGTAAGGGATGAGAAAGCAAGACCATGCAGAGGGAAGTGCAGGGCTGAGGTGCAGCATTCTCAGATACCACAGTTGGTCTTGTGACAGCTTGGTTTGAAATACTGGGACAAAAATGTCTAGTCCTTGGTACCCCCACATCAGTGAGCATCATTGAATATGGATGATGGTAGCTAGGGAAGATGCTGTAGCAACAGAAAAAGGAGACCCTGTGGCAAATCGAGTATCATCTTTGCTGAATGTCCAGGAGCTTCCTGAGCATGTCTGGCTGTGTGGTTTTTATTGAGTTTTGTTAGATTTGTAGCCTTAATCCTGTCTCAGGCTCAACTCTTCTTACAAGAAAACTACCATTTCCACAGTTCAGAGATCGCTACTTTCACTTAGGCTTTGGTGATTGCTTCTGCTGATTCTCCTGAAAATTTTCCTGATTTTCTCTGAGCCTGAGAGGACATGTTAAACTTCCCAAATCTGTCCTCCTAAGCACTTAACTTACCCTCCTGGGTCTTGGTGGTTGTGGTACATTGTGCTTCCATCTATTTCCTCTTCCAGATATCTACATCATTTGCCAGTGTGAGTTATAGCTTTTCTTCTGATTCACCTGATGAATATAATAATTCAGAAATTAGTATTTGGGGATTCAAAGATTTTTCACTGTGTTTTAAGGACACAACATTGAGAATGTCTATTGCTGTCTCATTCACCTCTCTCTCTCTTTCTCTCCCTCCCCTGTGGGTACTGCCTCAGTATCATAGCCTTTGGTGCCTGAGTCACATTAAAGGAGTCATAGTATCTTCAGAAGTCTCCCTTGAGAGTCAACTGTTCCATTTGAGGCATGGGAAGACTTCAAAGTGTTCGAAGGCACAGAGGGGTGTGCCCCATCACTATATGCTGAAGCACTGGAATGGCAGACAGGAAACCTCACCTACCAGAGGCAGAAGATCATCTGGTTTCTAGCTGCCTCTTCCAGGGCAACTGTAGTTAGAAGAAGCAGATGGTCCTTACAGGACCTCATTAGGGTAAAAACATGTGAAAGCTCTTCCTACAGGGTCACAAAATGTAATACCTTCTCCAAGGCCTTGAGGTGAGACTCATTTTCTCTGTCCTTGGTCCTACAGCTCTCCTTTAACATCCAGGACCTACCTCACTATCAGATTCACTCTTCCATTGGCGACTATAATAATCCATGCTTGGATGGTCTAGGAAACAAGAAGGGATGGGGTATTCAGTCACTTGGATTTGTGTAAGTTCCATTTATGAGTAAGTAGTACTAGCCTGATTCTCAGAAAGTGAGTTTCTTGCAATCAGCAATCATGTCTTCTATGATTCCATCTTTTTCTTTGTGGTTATCACATATGGTCCAGCACATTGTAGCTATTCATTTACTAGGTATGAGCCTTGGCAACAACAAATCTCGCGATCTTAATTTACACATGTCATCATCTCCCATCTCCATGGCTGAAAAATCACATTATAAATGGCTGGAAGTCTTTTCGCAACTCTCCTCCAAGTATCTAATTCAGGGAAATGCATGTACAACCCACTTAGCTTTCAAGAATTAGAGGAATTAATGTTCACTGAATAGAGACAGAGATAAGAAGCCAAAATGTCACACTGAATTTAATCAAGATGGGTCTGAAACCTAACTCCAGTTTTCCCACTCACTAATTAAATGATTCTTTTTCTTCAACTCTCCATTTTTTCATTGATGAGTTATGTTTTAAAACTTTTTATCTTCATAAAATAGCCAACAGTCTTAAATGAGATAACACATCGATGTATCTGACACAAAATAAGAGCTCTATGAGCTAACAACATTATTTTTTAATTACCTTTTTTTCGTTGCCAAGTTATTTGTATTTATTTTTAGGGCATAGTGTTATAATTCAATAAATTTAAAATGTGTGATGATTAAATCAAGGTAATTACCATTCCCATCTCCTCAAATATTATCACTTTATATGTTGGGCACCTTTAATTATTTTCTTCTAATCACAAGCATTATTGGTATTACCGCTATCTAAAGCATAAGCAGAGCATCTTATGCAGAGTATAAGAAAGGAAAAGGGAACAAACCAGGAGAAAGAGGAGGAAACAGAACCTCAATTCTGGATCTTAATCCAGTGACCTTGAAAAATCTGGGTATAAAAATGTTTTAAATCCTTCCACAATAATTCCCTTTCTAGAGGCTGGGCTTTTAATTGCTTTTCTTTTGCTAAATACTATTATACCAAACCTCTTTAGAAATAAATTTTCCTATCCAGTCACAGCAGAGGATCCGTATATGTACAGGAGCCATCTGGATCAGGCAGTCACACAGCCCCTAGCTGATCTGCTAGTGTCCTTTGTTGAAACTCTTCTGCTTTGAGGGTCATTTGTCAACTCCATGACATGCCTTTGTAGGTACAGTCCTGATAGGAGAAACCATAGTTCCTTCCCTTTCCTTCTTGACAACAGATCTCTCAGAGAGCGTGTGAGTTCTAGATAACCATGCTCTAACCCCACTTCTGTCACCAAAAAGCCATGAGGCTTCAGGCAAGCTGTTGGTATTTCTAGGGCATTTATTATTAGTTGGGGTTTGGGGGCTTTTATTGTTGTTATTTTGTTATAAGTAAAAGGGGATTTTTATTAGCAAACATTTATATAATATAATTTTAAGTATAGCCATAAGAGGTAGGTCAGATAGAACATAATAAAGACTAAATGGTTAATTAATGCAGAAAAATGTTTTTACGTTCTTGCTTACCCTATAGTTAACTCTATGCATCAGTGATCTGGTACTTACCATTATTCTTATAAATGCTATGTGCCGGATGCTACTACCACCATCTTCTTGATCATCATCATCTTCCTCTTTATGTGTTTTCTTGTACCATTCTGAAGCACTTTTTCTCTTCTAGTTTCCTCAAGAATCCTTCTCTCATTTCTCAGCACATGTTTGTTCGTTTGTTTTTTAACATGTCTAACATTCTTGTCCCTCCAAATGGCTCTGTTACCCTCCTTCTGTTCTGTGTCACTGTATATTCCATCATGAGGTCCTACTCTACTTAGGCACACAATGTTTCAAGGATGTTACTGGATATCTCCACATTCACATCATTTTAGGCCTGGGAGATTAGGACCAGTCCCAACCAAAAGGCTAGTCCTCAAGTATCTATTCACTCAGTTCCAAAGCCAATATCTAATCTTTATACCAAACCTATTAAAATACGCACCTCACCATCCAAAAATCTTTTATCCATCTTTTATAAACACTGAACTGACTTGTTTGCAAAAGGCCTATCACCCAACACTTAAAATATTTATATAGCTTATATATTAATATGTTATTCTCAGGTATAAACATAACTGGATTTAGAATCAAAATATAGTGTGTAAACTGACTTTTAGCATGCAATATGCCTTCTTGACAAACAGTAGTTTTATTTTCAAGCACATAAATCTAAATAGGTCTGGTAATAAAGATATGCTTAATAATATGTAAAGTAGAAAATGCTGGTTACTGGGCATGTATAAAATAGGATACTATTCTTATGTTCTTATAACTTAAGTGTGGAGTACATGGCAAGAATTTGTCATTGCAAAGCCAGGCTCAGCCCATGCTGACAAAGGTCTTCCTTATATATATACCATGTTAGAAGTTCATCCTGCAAGGTAATTATGAAAATGTTACAGGAAGAATGTTTACAAAGAAGTTATATCATCTTAGTAGCACTTTAATGATTAAGACATTACTCTGACAACAATATGAAGAATATATTTAATAAAGAAAGGATGGTAGATGCTGTCTCAATGTATCAGCCTTCCTCTCTCAAATTACTAGGAAAAGGGTTATGACCATAGGGATGGAGATGGGAAAGCAGACAGGGGTAAGCAGTTAGCACTGAAGGACTTGCAGATGGCTGGGAAGAAGAGGAAAGATGAAAAGAATCAGCATGGGTAACTTTAGATCCTTGCCGTGATGACTGGCTAGACTGTAGTACATTTTCCTAAAACACAAAATAGAGGTGATAGAGGTAGAGGAGGAGGTTATGTGGGATCCCTATATAACCATAACAGTTTTATACTTGTAAGGTTTGTGCTATGTATAAGATGACATATACATGTGTCATAGACATATACATATCTTACTTATTAAATACAAGAGCCAAGCAGACAGAAGTCTTGTTGGCTTTTTGTATCCTAGCCAATGAGAAATAGTCAGTACAATCTGGATGACGGTTGCTTTTTAATGAGTTTATGTGTCTGAAGTGAGGACTATCTTCTAGACAACTATATAATGCCCTTTAGGCTTTATTGTCCAGAAAGTCTTGTATATCTTTTAGTATTACTCAAGGCCATGTTATATCCATAAATACGAATATTGTATTTCATACCAAAATAGATGCACTTTCAAGAATCTCATTAAGATCCGAATGCTATTACTCTTGTCAACCAGTATAAGCAAGGTAGGTTAACTCACAGAGGAGCAAAACCTGCAAGAATGTTTTAAATGTTTATGTTATATTAAATGTTTAAAATGGTGGGGCTGAGTGAAATGAATAAATTTATCACACGGGAAAAAACTTCTAACATATTGATGTTAGAAAGGTGGCTTTCAAGATATCATTTAAATGCTTAGGATGTCAGAATTCAGACTGAAAACAATGGTTATGTATACACAGTGTGTATACACATATATATATGTACATATATACATATATATACAAATATGTATTAGGGTTCTTTAGTGTCACAGAATTTATGAAACATCTCTATATATTAAGGGTATTTATTGAAATGACTTACAGTCTGTAGCTCAACTACCCGAAAAATGAGCAGCTGTGATGGAAAGTCCAAAAGTCAAGTAGTTGCTCAGTCCAACAAGTTGTTTCACCTGGTCTTCTGGATAAGCTGGAATCCTGAAGTGATAGGTTCCAACAAGTGTGCTGGCAAGTGAGTCTTCCTTCTTCCAGTGTTCTTATGTAGGCCTCCAGCAGAAGATATGGCCCAGGTTGAAGTTATATATCACCATGTCTGGATCTGGAACTTGCTTTGTCCCAGACTAACCTTGAACTCTTGAGATCTTCTTCCTTCAGGCTCCTGGGATTAAAGGTGTGTACTATCTTGCCTGGGATTAAGCTTTTTATGACAACTATGCCTCAAGATCTCCATGTCAACATCCAGGTCAGAAGCTTGTGTCTTCTAGCCTCAAAATCTAGATGACAGGTAGGCCCTCCATTTCTGGATTGTAGCTCATTCCGGATGTAGTCAAGTTGACAACCAGAAATAGCCATCACAACATATATACATGTATATGTGTATACATAGATACATAGACACATAGATACTTATATGTATACATGAATATATATGCACACAAATATACATATATACATATATGCAAATATAATAAATATACATATATACATGTTTATGTATATACACTTATATATTCCTTTGGAGTGATATATATGTATATATAATATATATGTACATGCATATATGTGTATATTTAAAATAAACTAAAAATATAAAAATGAGTATCTATTCATTGTACAGTAAACAGTATTGTGTGTGTATATATATATATATAGTATATATACCTATACATGTATACATGTATATATATTATATATATATATGTATGTATATATGTGTGTATTATATATACATATATGTATATATGTATACTGTTCATGTATATGTATATACATACACTGTTTACTGTATACTGAGTATATATTTTTTGTATTTTTAGTTTATTATTTACATATATATGTGTGTGTATATATACACACACACACAAACACACACACACACACACATATATATATGTATATATATACATATATATATATGTATATATATCAAACTCCAAAGGAGATTATGGCATAAGAATGTGAGGCAGTGAGAAGAATAGAGACTGTATAAAAATATGGATAGGTCTTCCCAAAAATCTAGTAAATATCTCTGCTAGGTAAAGAAGTTTGAAGAAATCTTACTTGTCTAAAAAAATAAAGCATTACCTGCCTGTCCCTTTAAGGATTCTCATGTACAAATCAAATACAGATGGCCCATTACATTTATGACCTCACTGTCAATTACTCTAGATGAAGCATGCATTAATTATTGAAGTGCTTTCATAGTATACAAGGTTTTAGTGGTTACATTGCCATAGATAATTTCAACTTTCTGATTAGAAGCTGGTCTAAGCAATTTTATTTATGAGATTTCATTTCTTGAATGTAATAAAAACTACAAATCCAGTAGTATATTTCTTTTTCTGGTTAACAAAGCCGAACTACATAGATCCTGGCCTTTGTCCTTAGGAGACAGCACATTACTTCCTACTGACTTCATTAGCATGACACACATGCATAAACTCTGTCAAAGCCTGTTATAGGATGGGCAAGGCAACTCAGGTGGTAGGCACATTTGCCAGCAAGCTTGAAGACTTGAGTTCAATCCCCAGTACTCACACTGAGGAGAGAGAAAAACCAATTTCTCCAAAGTTGTCCTTTGACCTCAATAATCTCACTATGATATACACACACATGCACACACACACACACACACACACACACACACACACACACACATGCACAAATGAAAACAATCACAGTGAATTTGGATTATTGGCATTATTTGCTATTTATGGGAGGAAAATAGAGATAATCTTTGGAATTCTTCTCTTCAGTGGATATTGCGTATTCATAAACTATCTTGTTTTGCAAACAATTTAAAGAAAGACTAAACTTGGCTGAAGTTTCAAATGGTTGCATCTGCTTCAATTCAAGCTAGTAAGTATTTTATATGTAACAATCCACAGACTGGAGATGTTTAAACAAGGGACTAGGTTTCTGTTGTTGTTAATGGTTGGGCTGTTTTCCTGGCAGAGTCCATTAACTATTAATGCTAAAGAATAGTGGGAACATCCCAATGAAACCATACCTTCCAAGAAACATACGGAGAAACAGTGCAAAGGCATTAGAGAAAGGCTTGGGCATTTCAGTCATTCTGGAAGGGAGCTACTCACTCAACAGTGGGGAAGAGAGCAGCTTTCAGATGAGATAACTAGCTGAGGATTTCCCAGGGAAGGCAAGGTAGTCCAGTGCAACCTCAGCCCCCTCTCCCCCAGTCCCATGGGCTTAAGTCTGTGTATTTCAATTGGGCACTCCATGTCTAACGCACCTTCTTCTGACACTGTCTATTAATCTGCATCCTTAAGAGTTTATATTTAATTGGCTGGATGGTTCAGTGATTAAGAGCACTTGGTGCTCTGTACAGTGGGGGACCTACCTCTGCTAGAACCCACATGGTAGATGACACCTATACCTCCTGTTCTAGGGCACTTAATAGCCTCTTCTAGCTTCTCTAGAGACATATAAGTAGCACACATACCTACATGAAAAAAAAACCGCTTGTATGCATAAAATAAATATAAAAAGTTTATATGTAAACACAGGACACTGACCTTTTCCTTTATCCATTTATTTGTTTAGAGACAGGTTTCTTGATTTAGTACCTACTAAGTGCCAGGAACTGCTGTGGTACTCCTCCAGGGCGCCAGCAGTAAAGGGGTGTGCCACCATGTCCAAGCAGCTGGACCACTTTTCTGTAGAGCTAGGTCTTCATCTTTTTAAAAGGCCTACTTGTTAAAAGATAAATAAAGATTAGTTGTATTTCTCCTCCAAGAAATGTTACTGTAAAAAAAAATCCCACAAACAAACAAGCAAAATGCTCTAGCAAAGAAAGGCTCAGATGAGCTAAGCTTCATAGAATCGCTGCTTTCCCAGCCCAAAGGGATGAAGGGGCCTGCAAGCAGGAGGCAATGTCCACGTGCAGTCATAGACTTGTTTCTCTGGCCAAACCAAAACACATATGGGCAATTATTGCCATAGCGAGGCACACACAGAAAGTGCTACACTTCCCAATGGGCTTGTGCAATCCAGAGGTGAAAATTTCCCACAGACCTCAGAGGCAACTAGAGATGGAGAAATGTGCTGAGTCTCCAAGCAGAACCGTTGAAAGAGGATGAAAATGCAGCCTGTCCTTCAAGAACAAGTGGTCCGACAGTGAGCAAGGCTTATGTTTCACTCCCTCCAGGAGACACTTATAAGACACTCTACTAATAGGAAAAGCCAATGACTAAATAATATTCAT